ACAATAAAATCCCACCTAAGACCCAAGTATAAACCTTAGATGGGTGCAATATATGTAGAGGTGTCAATTGGGCGGGTTGGTCGAATTTGGATTGGGTCTAACCGGGTTGGGTTCAATCGGGTTGCGAGTTCAATCGGGTCGGTTTCTATTTGGATCGGGTTTAATTGGGTTACAGGTCAATTGGGTTACGAGTCAATCAAGTCGCTTGTCAATTGGGTTACAGATCAGGCCGGGTTAAGGGTGCATCAAATTACGGGTTTATTGGATTGCGGGTTAATTCGGGTTCGGTCAGGTCGGATTATGGGTTATTCGGGTCAACCCATTGGATCATTTACTTCTTGACAAAAAATAATGTTTTACAAACTATCAATATATGAATATAAATTGTAGGTCATGATACAAAATTTAAGAAAATGATAATATGATAATATTTTACACATACAAATTAAATATCCATTATGTTAGTATAAAAACTAAATATAAATAAAATAGTATATATAAAAGCTTTTTTGTTGGTTATAATTTTTTTGTTTATGGTGAGAGATTGTAGCTTCACTTGTTTTATTAATTTATAAAAAAATTGAATCAGTAAAAATTTGAGAATGAAGTAAAAAAAAGTAGACTATATGCTTATACATCCCGAAATGAATCGTCTTAATTAAATATAGTATGCACTAGATGTGTGTCTCTTCATTTTCACGAAGACTTATGAGCATCATTCCGAATCACCCACTTATATATCTTCACAATTTTTTATATATTCACGGTAACATCTCATCCTAAAACTCATGGGTCGAACAACGGTTCGCTCAAATATGATATTTTCATCTAGTTTGAATCGTCGATTTATTAATTTATAAAAAATAAATAAAATCAGTAAAAAGTTGAGAATGAAGTAAAAATGGTAAACTATCCACTTATATATCTTGATTGGGATCATTGATTTCATTGATTTTCAAGGGTTGATTTTTTTAATATATTAATGGTTGGTAGAGATACGAATTTGTGTCTAACTCTTCCTATTATCTTCAAAAATTCATCTATTGAATTTCATAAAATAAAAAATGAATGAAAAGATATTTCACGTATTATTATTTTAAAAATTAAATATTTAAGAAAAAACCTCAATTTATACTATCAATTCTACAAATAATCTTCAACTATTATGACAACAACAGTTCTTTCTTGGTAATTTTAAAAATATAATAATGTATACATTGAATTTTTGTACAAGCATTCGGGTCAAATGGGTTATTCAGGTTATTCGAGTTGGGTTCGGTTCGGTTACGGGTTATTTGGGTTATGAATCATTCAGGTAATAGATGGGTCGGGTTATGGGTTGGATCGGATAATGAGTTCATCGAGTTATGGGTTGATCGGATTACGTGTCAATTGGTTTCGGGTTACATGCGGGCTTTGGGTAGTTGACTTTTTGTCAAATCAGGTTAAGTACAGGTTGTGGGTCGGGTGGATTGGGCGGGTTAGTCGGGTCGGATTCAATTTTGATAGCTCTAAATATAGGGAAAGTATGTTTAAATAGCAACCTAGGCCGGCCCATGTTCCGCTACTTCAATTGTTTGAAACATTATCTAGCGGATTGTTGTTTGTTGAAATCTCTACAATATACGATTTGAAAGCAATACTTTGAAAATTAAATGGGGTGGAAAACTCTTAGTGAGAAGCTTCACTCGGGTGTTGTTTCCCCCTAACTAACTACCATGAACCGTCGGATCGAATGAACCGGTGTGTGACGAGGCAATTGTGACCCGTAGGAGGTGCAACAATGGTTAGAAACCATCCTCCCAATTGCTATGACAAGGTAAGCATTAGAGACTACAATTCTAGCCCTCTTGGCACAAGCAATTGAGGGTTGACTTACCTTCTCCCTCAAACCAAGGCTTGGACGGCAAAATCACAATTAACCTAGGTATCTAATTCAAATAGAGGTTTGCCCTTCATTAACCTAGTTAGGAGGCATGGAATGCCAATGAAAACCCAGCCCAATTTTGAGCCTCTTAATTAGATAAGGGGGCTTCCCTCTAATCAAGGTTAGAATAGCACAATAGATTGCCAAACAAACAATATGCACAATCACCATGAAAAATACCTCAATTCTTAAATTAAACACCACCATCACACAATCATTCAATCCACACGATCAATTACATGATAGTAGTTAAGGTTCTACAACAACCAAGTGAAAAGGGAAACTACTCCATGCTAGACAAAGGAAGAACACAAAAGAGGAAGAAAGAAACCATCATTGAGATGCCTCCAACTCTCCTTGTGCTTGTAAAGATCCTCCAAATAAGAGGAGCTTCCAAAATCTTCACTTGGAGCAAACCCTAGCCTCTTCTCCCTCTTGGTTCGTGACTTTCACTCTCTATAGTTTCAAGAAGAAGGTTTCTCTCACTTTAGGCTCCCCCTCCTTATTCCTTTCAGCTCACTCTTTATAATGAGACCGTGCCCAGTTCACGACCTTGAACATCATGATGTGTCCGTGAACACAGTAAACTGACCCAAAACACACTGCTTCACTTCTGAGGTTCACGGTTTGTGGTTCCTGTTCACGATCGCTAAAAACGCACTACTTCACTTCTTAGGTTCACGGTTTGTGATTCCTGTTCACGGTCTTAGCGACCGTGAACAGCCTTGGCGACAGTAACCTCAGAAACCCCTCTGGACGCTTCCTGATTCACGGGTTGTGGTTCCTACTCGCAGTCCTGGACACCGTGAACTCTAATGTTGGACTGTGAACACAGGCTGAATCCTCCTCTTTGCTCGGTCATTGTTCCTTTTCTTCCAACTTTCAACTCCGCGGTTGGTTTCACCTGTTAGACTCTGAAACACACTGAAATACAAGAAACCGAGCGTAAAACCACCCCTTTTGGAGCTCAATTGCCACAAACTTCAAAGAGAAACGGGGATAAAAAGTGTACAATTAGGCCCGAATCACTTTCCTCCCTCTTTTCTAGTGGTGGTTTGGTAGACGAATCGGCGATGGTGGATGGTTTTCAATTTGGGGATTCTCCTCTAATCAGTCTCTGAATCATTGTCTTGTAGTGACAATGAGATCTAAAACTACGCTGCCAAGTACAATACCCATAGATCTTCTTATTTCTACTAGGTGATTGAAGGAGGCAATAGTGATGAAGGGGAATTGTAGGCCGAGAAATTGTGCCCAAGGTTGAGGGGAAGAAGGACTCTTTTGAAAAGGTTTTACGGTTTATTGTTTTCCTCCATGGAAACAGGGATTCTTCAAGAAAGCCTGCTTCCTCATATTCGCAACTCAAGCAAGGCGTCGATTACAGTTGGGAGTTCAATCTGATTCATCTTCTTCTTCGCATTCAGTTAAGGAGGCAAAGTAGGGGGGGGGGGGGGATTCATCTTCTTCTTCGCGTTAATACAATGATGCAAAGCATTTGGCCATGCAGACGTCGGTTCTTCTTCGCATTCGATTAGGGAGGCAACTGAGTCTTTGACCTTTGCGATTTTCACCAAACTCTCTCTCCTTGCGCACTCTTTCTGATCTATCTCCGGAGCTACCCTCCCTCTGTGATCTCTCCTTGGAGCCAGTGACCACATTCAACTACGTCTCTCGCTTTCTTTGGTGTCGCTGGGGAGAAGCTTCTCAGGTGACTGGTTCGGCGTCGTCTGGGAAATTTTTGTTTATTATGATTTTGAGAGAAGCACATGCTTGGTTGGTTATTTAATTTCGAACTTAAAATAAGCAATTAAAAAATGTTGATGTGGCAGTCAACTGATGGTCAATTGGATAGAAAGTTTGCGGTTTGACTATTATTTTGTTTTTAAAAAAAATTGGTTATTATTTTGTTAAAAGATCAAATATTTGGCTAATATATTTTATTTACACTTTCTTTTCTAATGTTACGTCTTCTTATATCTTGAAAAAAAAAATGAATAAAAGTCATCATATTTTCCAAGTATCGAAAAGAGGGAGGAGCTCTTCCCCACGTGCTATCAACAGTATTTTAGGGGTTGTTTGGTTTTGGTGATAGTTAAATTGATACATTGTCATCGGTTAAATTACACGTTTGGTCACTCAAATTATACAAATATTTCACGTTTGCCACCGAATTATTTTTCTTTCTTATTCGCCACTAACTTTACGAATCGTTTCACCATTAGTCGCCGGCCATTACACTCCGTTAAATTTGTCATACGTGGCAGTCAACTATTAAGTTTGACCGTTAACTAAATGACATGGAAATTATAAAAAATTAAAAAACATTTTATTTTTCTACCACATTAAGTTCCACTTACTTTGTGATTTATCATATTAATTATTTAATAAAAGTTCATATATTATAAAAATTAATTTAATGGTCGCGCAGGCAACCTCCTCCATGGCCACCGCCATCTGCCGCACGGGGCTGTAAATGGCGGTTCCAGTGCTGTCCAACGCCACGACGTAGGAGACGAGAGTGTATCGGATTTTGTTGTAAGCTCGGTCAGGGAACTTGTTGACGATTACCGTCTCCGGGTCCCACCTCGTCGATGTTGTAAGCTCGATCAGGGAACTTATTATAGTATTCAAATAAGTTAGATGATTTTTGGGGTGAAATTATACTTTTACTCTATGTTTTTTATATAAAAAAACAATACACATAAAAAAGTAGGAACACCGTTGAAAAAAAAAAACTAAAAAATCTCGGGTTAATTGCATGATTGGTCACTGAGATTACAAAAAACGTTCATGTTTGGTCACTCGAAATATTTAAATCCAATCTTGGTCACTCGAATTAGTTAAATGGTTCAAGTTTGGTCACTCTCCATCCAATTCCGTTAAACTTGTCTGATGTGTGTGGCAGTCAACCCTCAAAATTGATTGTTAACTCAGTGACGTGGCAATTAAAAATAATAAATGAAATTAATTTTAAACTTCTATCATTTCCAGCTCATTTTCAGAAGAAAGTAAAATAAATAAAATAAAAAATTTAATATAGTTACATCCCTTCCGCACCAAATCAATCATACCAATTAATCCCGTCGATTTCTTTGAAATTCTGCAGGCTCTAGATGTTCCTGAGCACGAAGCCAAAGTTGTTGATCATGGCCCCCGAGAGGCTTCCCAAATTGAAGGACACTTCAGTCACTGTGGCTAAGGAACAGCCGAAGACTGGATGAGAGGGAAGATCTCGCCAAGGAAAGACGAGAAGGTGACGAAGAAGACAGGCTCCACCGATTTGATGACATAGGTGAACGAGACGGCGACATTGGAGTAGGAGACACAGGCGGAGATTTGGGTGACGGTGTGGAACAGAGTCGGGCCGAGGAGGGCGAGGAGGAACTCCTTGGAGATTTTGGGGAGTCGGCGGTTGATTGACCAGCTGGCCAGCATCCAGATGCAGCCGGTGAAGAGCTGGAATGTGGCCAGGAACCATGGGTAGGGAAAGACGTTGAGGGATTTCTTGTTGTAGATGTTGAAGATTACGTTGTGGAAGTACCAGAGCTTGAATGCGGTGGCGAGTTTTAGGGTTTGATTAACAGGTTTGGGATTCGAATTCGAATCCGGGATAGATGATTCGATCCCTTCTGCCGCCGCCGCCAATTTGACGGCAAAGCGAGATCTAGGGGTAGTTGATTGGGCTGGGAGGAATCGAGATTGGTCGCTGCGGATGCGAAGATGAGAGAGGGGTTTCGGCGGTGGAGTTGAGGGAAAGTGGCGGGGATGGAAAAGAGGTAGCAGTGGCCAGTGGTGGATTTGGGGAAACCGACGGAGTTGGAGAGTGAGTGAGATTCAGTGACATCATAGCTCGTCGGTGGTTGGTGACGGCAGAGGGAAATTGCCGGGAGAGAAAGGAGGAGAGTTAGATGCGATTATTTATTTTCACAAGAAAGTAAAATAAAATAAAATATTATAGTTACAAATTAAATAATTAGTATTGTGAAAAATAGTTGGAAATGATAGAAGTTTAAATTTTATTTTATTTACTATTTTTTAATTGCCACGTCATTGAGTTAACAGTCAATTTTGAGGGTTGACTGCCACATCAGAAAAATTTAACGGAATTGGACGGAGAGTGACCAAACTTGAACCATTTAACTAATTCGAGTGACCAAGATTGAATTTAAATATTTCTGATGACCAAACATGAACGTTTTTTGTAATTTCAGTGACCAATCATGCAATTAACCCAAAAAACCTCAATCAAGCAATCTCAACAAAAACTTGAGATTTAAATATCACTCATTTTGAGTAATAGTTTGAGTCACATCAGTCAAAAAATACATTTATTGTTTGTACAAAAAATTAAAAAAAAAATACATTATAAATAATATATGCACTGTATCTTGGGTCAATCAGTTTTTCCAATACCTTTCTCTTTTAGGTCTTTCTCCACTTATCTATTGATTAGGATATTGGGAAAAATAGATTTTGGTAACAGAAGGCAGGTGGCAGGGCACATTAAGAAATCAAATGAGCGCCAAAAAGAAAGGAAATAAAAAAGAATTAATAGATTTCTTCCCATTTTACAATTTAGTATTTTCCAGTTTCTTCCTCCTGGCCACTTAGAGTTCGGCCATCCCACAAGTTGCACCGAGCTTTAGTGCAACAACGGATGAATGTGTTCAGTCCTCCTGGTTATTTCATACCTACCATCGATGATCCGCATAAACCAAAGCCCCTATACAGAACCCGGGAAAATAGCATCCCAAGCTTTCTCATCGCGAAAATCCAACATGGGTATCAGATCCATCGCATCACTACACCCAGTGTTTACCTTGCCAGTAGCTACCCCATTCTCAACTCCACCACCTTCTACTGCAACCCCAACAGCTTCAGAAGGCAAGCATGAGTGATCTTGAACCATGTAATCTTCAGAGACATTTTCTGTGCGGCATTTTCCAGGACTGGAGTATAGTCTGCCCAAAACATCATTACGAAAATCCAGCATGGGCACCACATCCATCATGTAGCTGCACGCATCCACTTCACCACCACTTGAGCAATTGTTGGCATAAACATCCTCAACTCCGCTCCCATGAAGAGCAGCAGCCTCCCCTTCCCCTATCAGTTGGTAACAAGGATTATCTTTATCCGCTTGGAACTCAAAAGACGTGCACGAGTCATCTTGGACAGCAGTATGATCATCGTCATACTTCTCTGGTGCATGTTTGAACCCATAATCGTACATGTTCCCAGAAAATGACTTCTTACCACATTGTGCTCCCTCCGGGATGTAATCAACCCCTCCTGAGTTTTCATCTCCTGTAAAATCATCATAGCAACAATTTTGCATATCACCATTTCCATCGCCATCACCATCATCATCGTCGTCATCGTCATCATCATCATCATCTTCAGTAACAATATCCTCACCGCGGTTCAATCGACGATTATAATCCTCAACAGGAGATTCAACTCCGGAATCGTCTTCTTCTGAATCTTCTTCACCTTCATACGAGCCTATATCGATACCATGCAATTCATCATCATCGCTATCGATGTCCAGGGCATCAGATCTGTTCTGAGACGCCCGCTTTCGGAGCATGAAGACGTTGAAGTAATAGCTTACTATTTCGTCCATGGGCCGAGCAGGAAACACTTGTGTAAGGTGGTTCCAGAAGTTCTGACCAGAGGACGGAGGGTTGGAATAGATAACAGCATGGAGAAGACGTTCTTCATTCTCGGTCCATTTCCATGCTACCTCTTCTCCCATGTTAGTAAACCCTAAGCTCGAGAAATTCTCATGACCCAAGGACTTTTTCAGCTTATCCCGAGACTCCGATACATGTTGTCGCACACATCTAAACGACCCTGCGTCTAGGCAGCAACAATGAGATCCACTAAGGCCAACCTGGTCAAGGAAGAAAGATTTCGTGTCTGGCATCGGAAGGATGCAAGTGCCCATTAGTTTCTTCTCCTCGTCGCTACTTGACATCAACATAGCATTTGGCTCAGATGATTCTTCAGACCCTTTCTTGTGCTTCTCAACATTAGGGCACAGTGGAGGAATGCTGGCTTGATGGTTTTGTCCAAGAGGAACTTGCTTTCTTGGGAAGCGGTCAAAGTAAGGAATATAGGCATTGCTGAATGGGGTACATTCCCACGATCCCTTATACTCGGGATATTGAGGAGATAAGGACGAGCAAGCTGCTACTTTGAAGCTGACATCCTCATCAGTGCAATTCTTGGGCACAACAGCATTTTCAGATACCTCATACCACAGCGGCTTGCCATTCCTATTGTCCTGGTTAACTGCATCAAGGAATAGAATTAAATTCAATGACTGAACTAGTTCAAATCACTACAAATGTAACAGCCACTAAAAAAGTTCATAGTTGCGAGTTATGACACAGTATAAATAAACTTAGAAGACATATACGTATATACCTGAGGAATCAGGATTCTTAGTAGAACTCATATACGGCAAGTTTTCAGCAAATTGAGTAGATCTATTGCTGAAGTCCAGCTGTCTTGCTTGCTTTAAGGGGAGCTCTTGGAAATCAGTATCATCAAATAGCCTTTTATATCCCATGTCAACCTGCAAAGCGTGCAATACATTTTGAGTATCATTTCAAGAGCAAGCATACCAATGTCAATGAAATTTTTTGTGATGCACTGGTGCAATGTTTAATACATAACTTGGAAATCATGATTAACACGACATAGGAATTAGGATCACTATGCTCCCACAAAGCTAGAGTAATGGAACTACCAACTTGAACCTATAACACACTAAAATTCAAACTTAATGTACAAAGAAAGCTTGTGAAACTTGTCATCATGTAGCGACCAATACAAATTTAAAGGTAATCAATCCCAATTTAAAACAGATTACCTTAGGTGTTTTTCACGCACAAGCCTCCGACCGAAATTGGACAATTGGAGCAGTAATTAGCCGTTAGGGACACCGAATTACCAGCTGAACGCTCAATAGAAGCCAATTGACGAAACCCCCAAACCAATTTTGGCAGATAGAACCCCCAATTTTCTGTCAGAAAAACCCTAACCCTAGATTTCGAATTCACCTATCAAACAACGAATTGACGCATCAAAAAGGGATTTTTCGTGAAGGTAACAGTCCCGGGAACGAAACCCCTCCACCTATTCGAAGAATCGGACGATCAGACACAGATCGAAAATTACCGAAAAAATCAAAACCCTAAGGACGAGACCGGAGCACGATTATCTGAAAAATTGGAGGGAAATCGATATGGTAAATTTACAAAGGGACCATTCGAAGGCGAAACTATGAAGGATCGGTGGATTAGAGGTGTCGTATTTTGCAGATCTGGAACCCTAACCCTACGTTTCGAAAATCGACGGCAGGAGGGGAACAAAAGGGCTCGATCGAGAGAGAACGAAACGAATTGAACGAATCGGGCGACAATTCGAAGGATTGAACAACGAATCAAGGCGGAGATCGGAAAATTGATTTTCAAGATTAGGGAAGGAGAGGGTTGGTGGTGGTGGCGGCGGCGAAAGACGGAATCGTGCTTGTGGCTTTTTGTAAGAAGGCGCGGTTCAAAAGACCTAACCGGGTTAATTCATTGCCGAATGAGCTGGACCACAATTAATAAAAACCTAAACCGGCCCTGAATTCTAGGAAAATTACGTTAAGGCCTCTTTTCTTTCAGTCGATTTGATTAGGAGCCTATAAATCTTTTCTTTTCCGTTGCAGTCAACCCACATAGAAGAAAAGGAGTTTAACCAAAAAAAGAGAAAAGAAAAGGATTTCTAGGTCTGTACATTTGATGAGAACAATAAAACCTATTTTGATGGTTAAAGTGGTGGAGTTTTAATTTACCACAATTTTTCTCGGGTTCCATGTCAGTGAAATAGAGTTCTTAAGAGAGATGAGAGACAAAAAGCTATGAAACTCTTGAACGAAAAGATTAACGTTATCCATTAATGACAGTTTAAATCGAGTCTTGTGAATTGGAGGTTCACCACTTTTGGAAAACACCGAACAGATATGATGGTCATCAGTCTGGATGGCAAACCAACCAAGCAAGAAAGCCAGAGCTAGCCACGACGAAGAAAGTTTTGGCGGTGGTAATTGCGAGAGTGACTGATTAAGAGACGAGGGCAACTGAGCCTCCACTTGATAAAAAGAAGAAAACCCATGATCCAAGAAGAAGGAGATGAAATTTGTTGGGGCTAAGGTCTCTCACAAATACTGGTTCTTAGGCAATTGTTCACCCATCACAATCTCGGTAAGGAGACGAGCTGATGTCAGATGAATATGAAGGGGATGATGTTGAAGACGGTCTTCATTGCACCAAAATTTGAATAAATAAGAGCACGAATGCTCGAGTTTGAAACTGTTTAAGAAGAGCAATAAAGAAGGGGATTTCTTCCTAAACTTTCACTTGATTGATAGAGTCTTAGTTTGGATTAAATTACCTACTCACCTCTTGCCATCTAGATGAAAAATTCATATATATATTCGGTACAAGCTGGGTAGAGTTCAGAAGATTGGCTATAATACTAGTAATGGTTCAAGGGGGAATTATGCTCGGATTTGTGTCAAGTTAGATCTGAGAAAACGACCTGTTTCATTGTATATAATCAAAAAGAGTGTTGTTAGAAACTGAACAAAAAAACTAAGGTTACCGAATCAGGTTGAGCCGAGGACTATCTCACTCCCTTTACGACGTTCGCAGAATTGCCTTGTTGTGCACAACAGACTATAAGGCGGTTGCCTCTAGGATAAAACAACCACTCATTTGCTCAACGATTTTGTGCAACACCAAAGCTTTTTGAACCTCACTCTCTCTCATGTTTCTTCTCTTCGAATTTGTGTATCTAGAGGGTCTCATGGGTCAGGTATTTATAAGAGCCGAGGCCCCCCAGAATATTCCTCATTTGTGGGAAATAAGTCACCCTTAATCAAGAAATAATTATTAAACTACTTGTGTTTTGTAATATTTGAACCTATAATTCGTTTTATATTTATTTTCTATCAAATAAATATTATTTTCGTGCTATGTTCGTTCTTATACTCAATAAAGTCTCGAAAATATTAGGCCCGACACGACCCACTTATATACCGTGACATGCCTGTGCTCATGCCCGTGCCCATGAAGTTTAGGCTCGGCACGACCCATAAATTATTCGTGCTCGTGCCGAGCTAGCACATTTATTTTGTGCCCGTGCTCGTGCCGTGCCGTGCTAGCCCGTGGGCGGCACGACCCGGTGCCCACGTACAAGTAGACCTCCTTTCACTTCGGTGTGGTGAAACCCTAACTCTACCATGTAGTTTTCTTTTATGTGTATTGGTCTATTGGATGATTGTCATTGAGTATTGTTTAATTCAATGAATGAGGCATTATTCATCATGATTGTGCATGCTTTTGCTTAGCAACCTAGGGGTTGCGCATGTTTTGTGCTTAGCATCCTTAGGTTTGTGCATTTAGGTGCTTAGGAACCTAAGGATTGTGGGAAAAAATCTCAAAGTACACTAGTTCTTAAAAAAAATTCTCAAAATACATAAATTATAAAAAAAATTCCAAAACTACACATGTTTGGCATTCACCGTTTTTGACAAACGTAGTGGATATAATCAACGCGTTTGTCAAAAACGGTGAACATTTCACCATTTTAAAATAAAACGATGACGTGTTCACCGTCTTTGTATAAAGCGGTGAAGTGTTCACCGCGTTTAATGAAAACGGTGAAGACGTCACCGTTTAAGTTAAAAGCGGTGAAAACGTCACCGTTTTAGGGCAAAGCGGGGAACATCTTCACCGCCTCAGGCTAAGGCTGTGATTATTTCCCACGTTTCCCAACCCTGGTAGGTGAAAATTAGTTCACAACTACCTAATGTTCATCGTTAGAGACAAACGCGGTGATGATGCTCACCGCGTTTGACAAAGGCGGTGAACATTAGACGATTTTTCGAAAAATACCACACCACCAGCAGTTGTAAAAACATAACCACTCCCCCCTCTTCAAATTTCAGCAACCAAAACCGAGCAACATACACAGAACAGAAATTTATGGCATGGTTAAATTTTCGTATTAATTCCTAATGGTTGTTTTTAGTAGTTATATAGTTATGTTATGAATTACTTATCCTAGCAAAAATGGCCGATGTTATGAATTACTGGAATTATGCTAATAGTTACTTATTGTAAATTGTAGATATGGGTAAATTCAAGAAGTTTCAGCTTATTATTCGGTGGAATGGAAGGGTTACAAACTCTGACATAGGGATTGATTATGAGGACGGTGTATCCACTAAACTAAAAATTGAGTCGCGATTCAATTTTCAAGAACTCCGTGATATTTGTGCAGGCAGGGTTTGTACAAGCAGACAGACGAGAGTTGGTAAAATTAGTTACTGGTATCCATGTATGAGTACTAGCGGGCTTGTGTACCAAGAAGTTGTCATAAACGATGATGACGCGGTTACGATGATGTTACAATTCCTAAGCAATAACGGGCTGCGGCAAGCAGAGGTGTATGTTGAGACCGATGCGGTCGGTGAAACTCATTCTCACCAGTATTCTTATGATGATGGTTTTGCAGGAGGGTACAGATGGGGTGGTAGTTCGAGAAACTACGAAGGAGGTGGTTATACAGGAGGTTACAGAGAGGGTGGTAGTTCAATCAACTACGATGGAGGTAGTAGTGCAGGATGGGTGCCATCAGAAGAATACTCGCAACAGGATCAACCTGCCGATGGCGTTCAATGACCTACTTGGGGGCCTGGGTGGGCTGAAATCGAGAATACCATTCGAGCAGGGCGTACTTCACATGAGCGAGAAGACGATGTTGGTGATGGTGGTCATGTTGATCCTTCTGGGCCGAGCTATCCATTCGACAAGAGCGACGATGATACAGAGGAAGATTTGAGATCAGTGAGCGAGGAGGAAGATACTGATGATAACGACGACGAGGCGGTATTTCGTGATGCACCGACGCCATACTACACACAGGTTCCAACTCAATTTTTACATAGTCAGAATGATGCCCCTGACTTTGTCCCTATGACAGTGTATAATCCGACGGCCAATTTGGAGGTGGGTATGGCGTTCTCATCGAAGGACGCTGTGCAGGATGCCTTTACCGAAGAGGCCTTGAAGCGCAATTTGGAGTAGAAGGTAAAATATTCTGACAGTAAACAATTACATGTCATATGCAAGAATGATGCGGAGGGTTGTACGTGGCAACTGCGGGCTGCAAATATGAAGAGAAAGGGTGCCTGGGTGATTCGAAAAGCTGAGACCAACCACACCTGCTCCTTGTCCATACGTTCTCAGGATCACAAGCAACTTAAAGCAAAGAAAATTGGGAGAACTATTAAACACCTTATCGAAGCACAACCAGATATCAAGGTCAAAGCTATCATGGCCAAGGTGAAGGATCGACATTCTTACACGATAAGGTACAAAAAAGCATGGCATGGAAAGCAGAAAGCCATGGCTGAGGTGTATGGTGATTGGGAGGATTCATATGCTTTACTCCTAGACTTATGGCCGCAATGGAGGAGTCCAACCCTGGGACTGTTTTCGTGCTAGTATACAACAATGTATACACTGAGGATTAAGTTCGAGTACAGGAGAAGTTGACGTTTCACCGTCTTTTTTGGGCTTTCAAACCATGCATTGACGGGTTTGCGTTCTGCATATCGGTTATTCAGGTATTTTAATACACGTTTACTATTTGTTTCTATTCTTGCAGACCAAGTAAATTTCATACTAATTACTTCCTAATATTTAATTAGGTTGATGGAACCTTCCTTACTGGGAAGTACAGATGAACTCTTCTCATTGCCACTGGCGTTGATGGAATCAAGCGAATTTTCCCGCTTGCATTTGCAACAGTGGAAGGGGAAAACAACTTAAGTTGGGCATGGTTCTTTGACCAACTATACGAACACGTGACACAACGGGAGGGTATTATGATTATATCCGATCAACACGCGAGGATTAGGAATGTCGTGGGTGGTTTTCTTGATAAGTGGGAATGGACATGGCGCTGGTGTATTCGACACTGCCTCGCTAATTTCCAACACAAATTTGGAAGAAGAAAGACATCAAAAATCAATTGTGGCATGCAGGTACTAATGTCCTTTAATGCGAGTTAACTATGTGTTTGATAATTTGTTTTTTATCATGTATTGACCATTTTTATATTGTCCACCTTGCAGCGGTTGCACATCAGCCAGAAAAGTACGAGTAGAAGATGAAGACGATTCGTCAGACTCACTGAGATGGAGCAGTAAGGGCTGAAGGTCAAGAGTTGGCCATGTGGACGTTCCATATGGACAACGGGGCCAGATAGGGCATTGCAACTACCAATCATGGAGAAAGTATAAATAATGTGTACAAGGGCCTTCGAGCGATGCCTATTTCTGTCATAGTGGAGATGTCATACTGGAAAGTCAACGAGTGGCGGGTGGCTCGGCTGCAGCTAGTGATAGGGAGGGAGATATATGGTCATCCGATAGCACATGACGTTTTTGAGCAAATGCAGAAGAACGAAGAAAAATCAAGTAAGCATAAAGTTGTTCTTTTCGATCTTAGTGAAGGGATATTTGCAGTGGAAACAGGTGTATGGGGTGGAGGTAGATGTGGCCACAATCGTCAGACGGTTACTCTGCACTATGAATCA